ATATATATATATATATATATATATATATATATACATATATATATATATATATATATATTACACTATTTAAAAGAGGGTATCTTCTCTTGATACCATAAAGAGAAGTCGAGATGCACAAAAAATATTTTTTTTATATCTTATTCTCTTCTTATTAAAATTGAGGGATATATAAGATATTAATAGATGAACCAAACCTTAATTATTATGATTTTCTTTGATCTTTTCTTGTATTAGGATTCATTGTCTCATTAGAATATTAGTTTCAGATATTTTAAAATATTTATTAGTCTCAATAATATCTCTCAAGTAATTTATTCACTTTATGCTTCTTGACTAGAAATTTTATTTATTATTGTTAATATCTGACTTTGAGCTCTTTGAGCTCTTATATCACTTTTAGAGAGGGAGAGAAAAATAAACAAAAATCAAAAGAGAACCATGGAGATAAATAATCAAATAATATATCAAAAAATGTACACAAGATTTGACATAGTTTCAATAAATTCCACTTACATCTATAGATAAATACTAGAGTCCCTAGAGAAAGAATGGATACAAGTATAACTTTCTTGTAGATACTCTTATATAAATTATAAAAAAAAATAAATATTTTTTTTTCTTTTACCCTCTAGACACTCTCTCCTATCAAAATTCCTTACATTGTACTCTCCTCTATCAAAATCCAGAGATACATAAGATATTTATAGAATAATCAAATCCTATTTACCATAGGGTTTTTCCTTGATTAAGAACTCCTTTTATATTATGATTTCTTATCATATTGGGACACTTAGTCTAAGAATCCTAAAATTCTTGTTAATCCACTTCTTATGAAGGAAAAGAAAATTTTAATATGGTTCGATACAAGATTAGCAATCAATGTGGTTCGATAGATAGACAAAAAAAATACAAGATTAATGTGGTTCAATAGATAGAATTTAGTTAATTATGAGATCTTTAGTTATTTATGCTAAGCATTATATATCCTCTTACATAGAACCTCAAATAAGCATTATATATCCTCTTATATATTCATCAAAATCTAAAGAAACATAAGATATTTAAAGGATAATCAAATCTTGATTATTAGGAATTAAAATTTTTTTCTTGTATTAGGATTTCTTATCTATGATGATATTAGTTTTAAAATATTAAATATTAAACTATTTATCAACTAAAGATGAAAGTACAGTGGAGATTGGTTGGCAAAACCAAAAGATGGATTTGAATTGGACTTGTTAGCTTATGTGGAAATGGAAGGTCAAGCATTCCTTTCGATTCAACTACCGATTCCATCGTCATGACACTAACGAAGAGCCTTCAATGTCATGGTCGATCTTCTTCTTGCAAATGGGGAAGTTTGATTGCGTGCAATCAAGTCGATGACCGAATCCAACGACAGTCCAAAGTCACCCATTTCCTCCTCCTCTACTCCATGCATTCTTAGAAGAACTCCACATTCCATACCATATTAAACAGGTTCCTAACAGTGGCTGATTCCTCTTACATCATTAAGCTATTGTCCAATCTACACTACAAGACCAACTCCAGGAAAATAACTGGAAACAAGATAGTTTTAGTTGTAATGGCAAATGACCTGTATTAACATCATTTGCATGCACCCCACATGAGCTCCAAAGGAGAAGAAGTGCTGTGCTGTAGAGACAGACCACATGATTTGCTTCCCAGTTAAGATACCTACTCACATCTGATGCAGCCCCCTAACATAAGATGACATTTTCCTGCATGTTTCCTTGGCCTCCTTTTTCCCAGAAAGCAATCAACACCACCATCATTAGCTGGACAAATATGATCACTGTTCTAAAGCAAACAGTGCCCTCTCATCCTTCAATTAGAGAGAGAGATAGAGACTGATATCAATGGCAAGTGGAGTCCAAGGTCATGCTCCAATTATGGACCTGGAGATGGCACAGGTGAGTGCAATAAGCATTAGCCTTGGTGACATTATTGATGCCAATGGTGTTGTCCTTCTTGCAGATGGCAAAACTTTCAATAATTGAGAGCTCTGTTGAAATGAGCACTGCCCCATGTGGAGCTGCCTGATGCAAGCTGTTGCACCATCAACATTATCCTCTCTCATGAGCACTTCTCTAAAATAATCAAAAGCATGGCCTTGATCACAGTCTGTGGGTGTCATAATATTAGGTTGATAGTTTAACCCCTTCCCAACATAACTTTAGGCTTCAGTATCCATTGATCTACTTAGAATAATCCAACACTAGTGTCGGAAAGGCTTGCAACTAACACCCCGAGAATGCAGCCAACCTGTTCGTCCTATTTCCGCAGTAAGTCCTCCCATGTTCCACCATCCCAGCTGCTGCTGCTGCTGCTGCTGTTTCCGTTTCGTCAGTGAAGGTGAAGTTGACATGGGCTCAAACGCCCACAGTCCAATATGGTCAGCTTTGTCATACACTACTGTTAGATATGAAAGATGGTCAGTAGTAACACCTGCAATTAACCAGAACACAAATGGCAACCGAGCTTTGTCTTAAGCTTGAACAAGTGATCACAGTAGTATTAATTACACGAGAAACATGTTACTGCAGAAGAGTATGTGAACAAGGAGAACACATCTCTGCTGATGCAAGAGTACTTCACTCGTACGAGTGGTATAAGCTCAGGTAGATTTGTCGAACACCTACGAACTGACTAAACGAAGGGGAGGATATACTATGAAGGCTTCCAGATTCCGACGGTCGTCTGCCGGCGGCTCCGATCACATAAGATTGCAAGCGTTGGGGTTCTCGTCGTTGAACATGCTGTCGTGAGGCGGCGATGGCTGCGTCGATGCCAGTGAGCTCGGTTCCGGATAACTGTAGTACGACTCTGGCGGAGGTGGATGTGGCATGTAAACATAGCCCTGCGAAGCGGGCGGCACTGGGGGGGCGTAGTAGGCCTGACTGAAGCTCGGTTGCGCCATGTTGTAGCTCGTCACGTACGCCGGGGGTGGCGGGTACATCGGATAAGAGGGCATGTGTCCCAAGTCCGCGGAGCCCTCTTTCTGAGCCTTCTTGCCTTTCTTCTTGCCGCCACCGCTATGGGAACTCGGATCTCCGCCGGCGGATGCAGCAGCTGCGGCGGCGGAATTATCGTGCTGTTTGGTGGAGATGTCGGTCTTCGTTGCATCGGAAGTTTGGGGATCTTTTATGGCGCTTTCCTCAGTTACCCTATTGGTTTGTGATGGGTCTTTTGGGGGTTTGGCTTGAGCTTCTCTTTGGTCAGCTTCAGGTGGTTTGGCAGCGGGAGCGACGGTGGCAGCAGCAGCAGGGCTCCTCTCGGAGAGGATTGGTTTCTTCTCAGAGCTCACCGATGGCTCCTTGTGTTTAGGGACTTGTTTGCTCTCTTTCCTATTGCTGGTGTCGCCATTGCTGGGCTGTTGATTGCTGTGTTTCCTCTCCGGCCACAGCTCGGCGCGCTTCCCGGACTTGTCGAGCTTCCTTATGAGTGTATCAGCGTCAACACTGGCCTTAACCGTGACTTTGTTCTGTCTTGCGTCAATCTCCGTATCATAAACACCTGAAAAGACAAAGAAGAAGACGATTAACCTTATCAGACAAACAAAGGAAAAGAGAAGAATGTTATGGCTTTGGCATGATGTTACCTGGAATGCCTTTAAGGATTTTATGCACCTTCTTCTTGCATCCTTCGCAGTGGATGGAGACCTTTAACACCCAAGTCTGAGCCACAAAATACATCATTCGAGCATCAAGATTTGAAGGCAGAAAAAAAATAGCATGATTCAGTAATTAATACCATGCATTTGAGAGATTCTGAAGCTTCTTCTCCTGATGCCATGAAGCTTGTAGAGAATGATGCAGTGGTTGGAAGAAGGCTAAGGAGAGATAAGAAGACTCAAAAGAGAGGAGAGATGATGAGGGAGGAAGTGCCGTGTGTTTTGATTGCTGTGGGATGAGGTCTCTCTTGGTGGCTAGTGACGGTGCGACATTGCTGTGGTGTGCACACTTGGCTTTGTAGAGAGAGAGAGAGAGAGAGAGCGAGGTTGGAGTGGCAAGTGGCTCCTGTTTTAGATTAGATTGGCTTGTGGACTCCTGATAAGAAAGCTTTCCAGTGTGTTTGTGCTCAAGTGGCAGTGCAGTGGATTGAGTTTGTGTTGGTGGACTGTGAGATGGAGTGTGTCGTGGACCCCTGATAGTAAAGATTATTGCTCTGGCTTGTGCTGAAGTGGCCATGTTTTGGTGGACTGTGAGGAGGAGACAACTTTGGTTGAACAATCTTCAGCTTTAGAGAGAGAGAGAGAGAGAGAGAAGGTTACCCATATTTCATTCTTTTGCAATCATGTGGTTCTCGTAAGTGGAAAATCTAGATATCAAAGCAAATTTGATTGATCATTTATACAGCGATTGCGACACGTGGATGATTGTTGATATTTTATTATCACTCGATCGACACATCATTCTTACAAAACTGACATATTATCTATCCTCCGTTGGATCGACAGCTCAATTTTATTCGCTCGACATTGACATTAACTAAAATTATTGACTCAATCATATTATTTTTGTCAGATGATTGTTGATATTTCATCAGGTCCACCCGATACAGTCTTACGACTGACATATAAAAGGATCGCCATTAGCTTAGATGATTTAATATCATTTTATTATAATTTAGTCTGATGTGATAAGATGATTGATACAAACCTATCACTAAGTTATGATATTTTTTATATTATGATTTAATCTCATAGGATAACTGATGTATTAACCTAATAGACATAAATCATTAATAATAGATCTACTTGATGTCAAGATTCTATGGTTGACTCGGACCAAACCCAAGGCAACATTGACCCACGGTAGACTCTTTTAAGTCAAGAAGTCTACCTTAGTTACCAAAAATATTGATCTCATGAAATATCTCGGCTTAGAATTCAATGTCATATCTCCACCATGATCACGTAATTATTCTCATAAAAGCTACTTTAATAGAGACCGAGAAAGAGATGGAATTGGACTGGCCATTATTAAGAACAACAGTCATGCTGCAGATGATGCCACCAACTACAGACATGCACATGAAGGTCATGTCTTACACCAGTTGCTTGGTGGGGGTCTGAATCCATAAAGATCTCTTCTTCTTCTTCTCTCTTACTGTTTATCTTCTTCAAGAGGCAGAGAGACATTTGATGCAACCTTCCTTGTGCGGATGAATGGCTGAAGACAAAGCAAGCGGAGCGTTCGCCAGTTGGAATTTCCACAACTTCTCTGCAACCTTTCGGTTCACCGGAAAAAGCTCGGCTTCATGTGGAAAATAATTGCTCAACTTTGCCCTACTTATTGGCATCAATTGGAACGCAGGAAAACAAAGACAAAGTGAAAGCTATACGACGACACAGAGGATCACACATTACGAAGACTGGGTGTGTGGGGTTTAAAGCTTGTTTTCCTGGCCAAAAGGATGAGTTGGCTGTCTCCAGTGGGCAAAGGCTGCAAGAAAGACAAAGATTCTCTCGTGGTCAGCGTTGGATACAAAGTCTCCTGCGTGTTTTGTAAGACTGCGAGTTGAATGGATTTCTTTGTCCAAGAACTGAACCGTCTGGACTTTTCATCAAACAGGTGACAGACACCCACCACATCCATGCTTGTAAGGTTTCTCCTGAGCACAAGAAGTTTCCTCCAAGACTTCAAATTGGAGAATTAGGGTTGTCACTGAGAATTGATTGTGTCAAATTAAGAAAAGAATGAATTGATCAATTCGAGATTAAGAATTAAAACATGATCATCATATTCTGACCATATCAACGTTGCAACAAATTAAACATCGAGGATATTTTCTTGCCTTTGCACATTTGTCGATGCTACCGAACGAAGACTACGATGTTAGGGGAGATTTGTTTTAGCTTAGGATGATTTAGCCACATTCTTAATCACATGAATCCAAGTCTAGCGTTGCATATCTTCTTGGATTGTGTGTTTTCTTGGTTACCTCAAGACTCTCTTCATGAGATGTTGGGTAAAGAGGTCACTCACAAGAAAAATAAACAGCCCTTACTAATACAATAGATTGTGTGTTCTTCTACCTTTGAGGAAGATTCATATGAGCCTCCTTTGCTTTGGTGCTTCTTTTTGGTCCTCTAGGGTTGGGCTTGGGCTATTAAATCCATTATTTTCTTTTCCTATCTCACTCTCTTTTTAGCCAATTGTTAATTGATTCATAGATTATTCTCAAACTTATTTCATCACCTTAGAGAGAGAGAGAGAGAGAGACCACATCCAATGTTCCTAATGTGACAAAATAGAATAAAATAAATGAAGTTTTAGATGGGTAGATAACTAAATGAATTAACATATTAAGAGAATTGTTGTGTATTTGTTGTGACCCATCTAATTTTTCACTATCTCATTTGGGCTCCTATCACAAAATGATTTGTATCTACATGATTATTTATTTCATCGGGCATCTAATAATACCCTCTATTAATCCCACTTACTATGAATTAAATATTCGAAACAATATATGATAGATTTTATATCTTACTGTTTATTAGGTTCACTTACCAAAATTTAAATTCTAGATTTTACATCATAGACATTTACTTATCATTCGTAAAAACATTGATTTTGTGATGATATACTATACCAACAGCTTGTCGATGATCGAATATTCGAAACATCATATAATATATTTTACCCATAGATATTGGCTTAATGATGGGATCAAAGTTTTCCTTTAAGATATTAGTTTTATCACGATTTCATTAACTTATTAACTTGTTGAGATTTAGAAATACTTAAATAATACATACACTAATCACATCAACCTGTTAGAAGCGAATTAAAGTGTCAGTCAACTTTCGTTTTGGATGTGAGACTAAATTATCGAACCATTATTTCTTGTCAGAATCTAAAGAAAGGACGATAGCCAAAGGCCATACGGACGACACAGAGATCACAGGACGACAATAAGAGAGAGAGAGAGAGAGAGAGAGAGATAGAGAGAGAATACTCTGAAAATTTAATAAAAGATTGGACCTTAGGAAGATGCCGAAGAAGAGAGGGAGTAGAATTCAACATCAGAATCTGCTGGGTTGGCTGCTGCCGCTGCTTTCATGACGTGATGAAGCGTACGCTACGGCGGTCATCCGATCTTGTTGTTCGTTGTCTGCAACTTTTAGGCGAATAATTGCTAATGCGCTTGCACTCCTCGTGGGGAATTTGAGCGTCTTGTCGACGATCGAAAGCAACGGGGCATCGCCAAAAGCATGAGAAGGACGAGCCATTTTAGCTGTCTTGGGGGGACGAACGAGCGAACGCGCAGCTCTACTTCACATGAATTATCTTCTGATTGCATCGTTCGCATTAGTTCCACATGATCTGTGCGATCGATCGGTCAACGGAATAGGTCGACATATTTCTTCTCTGCCATCTCGGAGATCGACATGAATCGATTCTCCCGCTGCTTAGTTCACGCATGGGGTGACATCCTTGAGGCATTCCGATGCCCTCCTCCACCACACGTGCTATCCCCCACCGACGAGTTGCCATCGCTTTCTCTCCGTCAACACAGCCTTCTGCATGCTCTCTCACATCACTAGCCTAGCAGATGTGGATGATGTTATTGCTTCCTCTATCTGTGTAATGCGGTCATGTTACTGATGAACCTTTCAGAACTCAAATCACGGTGTATATATATATATCACATATATAATGTATACATGGCTCGTACCACACTGTCACTCACAGGATATATCGGAAACCGGCAAGAGAAAAAAAAAGGAAGGAAAAGTACACGCTATTCAAAAGTAGGAGTAGGGTTGGGTGTGCATGCAGGCAGGCTACAGGTCGATGACCTTGAAGGAGTGGCGGTTCTTGACGACGATGTCGTACATGTGGATGGACTTGAAGCGGGAGAAGTCCTTGGGGAGGGAGATGAGGTCGATGGAGGAGCGCTTGTGAAACTGGAGGAGGTCGGGTTCCTCGTAGTAGCGCTCCCACCCCAGTCCCAGCAGCTCCCGCTCCAGCGTCGCGTAGGAGGTGATCACCTCGTTGGTGGGCGTGTGCAGCAGCGCCTTTCGTCGAACGGTCGACGCCTGCTCGTCTCCCGGGTTCTCCACCAGCCGCACCACCCCATTCTTGAACACCCAAACCCCAGCCATAACACAGGGAGAGAGAGAGAGAGAGAGAGAGAGAGAGGAGTGGGATGGGATGGGAGAGAGGGAGTGTGCCGATGAGGCGTATTTAAAGACGGAGTTTGGATTACATGAATTTGGCAACGAGGGAAAAACGAAATAGTCACGTGGGGTCTTTGGAGGAAAGTACATTGATAGCTAATTGCTACTTTACATGTTATGCCACTTACTATATTTTTGGTCTATCTATTAAATTCACATGTTATTCCACATAATAATTTTTTTGCCTCATACATCTCCAACTTCTTAGTAAATAATTTATGAGGATTCCCTTCATCATTTTTATTGGTCTACTGGCTTCCTTGTTATTATTTCATCAACTATGCTTAGTTCTTGTTTCTTTGATAATATGAAAAGTTGTTTGAATTTTGATACAGGATTTTATTTTATTTTTTTTAAGTTCAAATGGGTGCTTGTTGAACTCTGGAAGAAATGGATAAAAAAAATAATATGAAAATTGGAGTATAATTTAAAGATCAAATATTTGAACATACAACAAAAAAATGTATTATTAATTCTTTATTTTCTCTTCTCCTATTATTAATTTTCCACTAATCAGGAGGTGGTTGATGATGACTAGATATCATTTCATCTTTTTCATTATTATATGACTTACAATGTATGTTATATACACCAACCACTAGATCAAAAGCTCTACATCATAAGATAGATGTAAAATTTTAAACATGCAAAACTTTGTCCAAGCATGTATTTAGGGTTTTTTTTTTGTTTTTGGTCAAAATGTCATGATGCATGGTCAAATTTTATTATCCCTTCTAGAAAACAGCTCATAACCATGAGGAAAGAGACATGATGTAGCTACCTGTTAATGAGAGTTGTAGTCATGTTTAAGATTCCTAAAGACATCAAGATCACCCCCAACTTTTCTTTCTTTCTTTTTGACCATTGTCTAACAATTTTGTGGTCTCCTATTCCAAGAAGAAAACATAAGCAGTATTAGATACTTGTTTTGTGTCTCTGAGCCTTTGGTTCAGCATGTGGGGTTAGGTGGAGGAGGAAAGCAGATTCTTTGGACTCTTTTTATGTGGTGGACTCATAACACTTGCCAGCTTATGTGGCCATACCTGCCAAACTAGTTTGACCTTTTGACTCTCCCTCTTTCTTCCTTCTCCAGCTTTCCTTCTTGCTTCTGCTTCACTGCTTTGCAGGAGGAGAGTGTGTGTGTGTGTGTGCACATGTGACTCTGCCTTTTTCTTCCTTCTCCAGCTTTCCTTCTTGCTTCTGCTGCACTGCTTTGCAGGAGAGAGTGTGCGTGTGTGCTGAATGCTGCCACTCGGTGACAAGAAGATATGAGATGTAGGGTTCCTGTCATGATCATTATGGGTACAACTCTCTTGACTTCATCTTGCATTGTCAGAGTGTGGTGGGAAGAAATTATGGAGTCTGATATAGGATTAACAAAAATAAAACACAAATCTAAAAGCAACACCAAAATAAATAAATAAATAAACAATGCTGAGAAATTATAATTTTATTATAAAAAATAATATGTGGAGAAAAAAAACCCTTTATACATTTTCACAATGCTAAAAATATAATAAAATATAGATCTAAAAATAACCTATAAAATTTTTATACCTTTTGCTTACATAAATATGAGATTAATCTAATTAATCTAGACTCAAAACTTTTGTATATCTTCTCATATAAAAAATATGTTTTTCTTAGTTTCTCTGGAATTACTAAAAAATATTGATGATTCCCTCTTTTTTTTTTTTTGTATGCGATACATTAAAATCTTGATATATGTGAAGTCATAATAAACTTCAAGTAATTTACCAATCAAATTTGTTTGACAAATGTTCCTACAAATAAATTGCATAATACGTTTTAGATATTGTAGAAGAAATATATATATATATATATATATATATATATATATATATATATATATATATATGTGTGTGATATGGAGATTTGACAATGATACTAATGATTTTTTTTTTGTGATAACGTCCAATTGGTGATAGATTTTGTATTTACATTATAATCTCATCTGAGTTGTACTTTCAATCATATTCTTCTTTTCATGGGCTCGATAGAATACACTCCTCTCATTCATACATTATTCTTTTACACTCTTTAACTCTTTCCCTATCAAATCGGCTTTAAATTATTCTCATCTCATTCATACATTATTCTTTTATACATTATTCTTTTTATATTCTAACTCTTCACCTATGAAATCGGTTTTAAATTATTATTAATATCCGATTGGATAAGATAACTAACTCATTAATTTATTGAATCTAAACCATCTTTTCATATGATCTTGCACTCATGTGGCTCTTATAAATTAATTTAAATGCCTTCAACATGTGATGTGAGACTAAACTAAAGATGTTATAGGTATAATGTTTAATTTCAAATAAAAAAATAGTGAAGCAAAATGTGGCACATAAATTACTTTTAATAGTACTATCATGGCTCACTTTTGAAGTCAATATTATCCATCTTTCCTGAATTCAATAATTCATGACTTACTTTCATAAGTCTAAAGAGTTCTTAGTAGTTATCCAAGTGTTACCCTTAATTAATTAATTGAAGAGAGGAAGAAATATTTAAGCTCAATGGATAAATTCTTTTATCCAACTACAACAAAACCGTACAAAGCCTTTTTAGCATGATCTAACCACTATCATGTGTTCTATTTTGAAAGGACTACATTTACTTTAATATCAAAAGATACTTCGCATTTTTAATCTAAGAATGTGATTCCTTTTTGTTTTACGCAAGTGATGGGTCCTCATGAACTATTTTAAATTGTCAATTTTGTCACTCATGCATGTTCAACTATAAACGTCAATTGCCATCCAATTCCCTCCATGGATTGGATTTATGCTCCAATAACTTCGCCACCAGTGATGCAAAGCTTAAACATCAAGATTCACCAACTAGATGGAGCATGGTTTTCTTCTAATCTTTGCATTAAATCCTCCAACGATGGTTGTCAAAGGCGATATGGATGAGATTGAAATATTAATAATCTGAGAATAAAGTCGATGGGGAATGTTGGATCGATTCCTTCGTCAAAATGGTTAAAGTAGATTGTAAAGTTGCAACATATTTTAAGGAAGGAGGATTTATTCCATCCCATTTAGTTACCAAAGAAGAATCCATAAGCTTCTAATGCCTGATAGGAACATGCACTGTCGGCTGTACTTTTTAATAATTTTCTTTTCTTTATTATTTACGTTTAGAATAAGATGATGATAATAATAGTAATAAATAATAATAATAATAATAATAATAATAATATTATTATTATTATTATTATTATTATTATTATTATTATTCTATAAATGGAGAACAATAGTAAAATTGCTTAACATAAGAGTGAGTGAGTAGCGTATTTTCGAGGTCTCCAATTACTACTAGTATGTAAGGTCCAAAGAGAATGAAAGAGATGGTACCGAATAAATTAGCAAAAGTAGTGCTACGATAGTTTAGTTACTTTTTAGTATTTTAGTCTCTATATTTTAAAAAATTATATTAACATACTTATAAGTACGAAAGTAAAATAGTTAGGTTTATTTACTTGATTTTACTAATAAAAATAAAAAAATAATTTTGATATTCCAATTCAAGTTGACAGACGATGTCAATAGTAGTGGACGATGGTGTTACTAGGGGTCGTAGGTGGCTGTTATGGATGAGAAGAACGATGACAAGAGGTGAGAGACTATCTACATCTACGTTAGCACCGATGTAATTGCCAAGCAATGCCTCTCTACATTTGTGTCGAAGTTGATGTAAATGTCGAGCGACCATTTTGTTGCTCTGCATCTTCGTCGACGTCAACATAATTGTCAAACGATAAAAGGGTCAATGATATGATGCCGAGCTATATCGCTCGATAGCTACATCAACATCGGCGTAGATGTAAAGCGGTGCCGCTCGACATTTACATCAGCATCCCTTTCATCGCTCGGTAACTGTGTAAACATCGATACAAATGCAAAGCGACTTTCACCTCTCGTTGTTGCTCTCTTCATCCATAACAACCACCCGTGATCTCTAGTGGTATCATCGTTTGACACCACCGACTCTATTCGCTATTATTGACGTCGTTCGTCACCACCAATTGGAACGTTAAAATTATTATTATTATTTTTTCATATTTTTGTTAATAAAATTGATATTGTTAGGATAAATAGATCTAAATGTTTCACTTTCTTTCATAACTATAAGGATGCTAATATAATTTTTTTTAATTATAAGAACTCGAATGCTAAATATAACTAATTATAAGGGGTAATATATAATTAGTCTCGTTTAATATTTAAGAAGGATGATCATCAAAAAGAAGAAAAATGGCACCATTTACTAGAATTAAGATTTATAAGAATTTAGAAAAAAGATTAATATATAACAAATTAGAGAATAGGTTTATCATATGATAGTATTCTTCAATATGAATGATAAATCTACCATCTTAGATTAAGATGATGATAGGTAACTTTTTTTTATCGCCTCTCCTTCTTCCTCTTCTCCTATTTCTACCACATTGCCACCTCTACTTTCTTCTTCAACCTATGCCTCCTCTCTTTCTTTCTCTGTTTCTTTCAATTCTTTTCTCTTCTTCCCGTCAAATTGTATCGACTCGCATGGGGTTATACCAATTCACACTGTAATTATACCGGTTCGCCCAAAGATCATCATCGACACTGCATTGAAATTTGAAATCTTGGTCAAGACAATTGAACAATAGATAAGCCGCTAAGCATGAAATTACTATTCCATTAGAACCTTAAGCCAAAAATTAAACCGGCCAATTATTAGATTAACATTAACACTGAAGGTCCACTTGAATGCAATCATATCTATCTCCAACCTAGGTAGATCTATAACAGCAATCATTCAAGGGTAATATGTACTAGTTTAAGCACTTAATCTGAAAGGTTTCGAGTGTCCGGGATTAAGTAGATGATCCTAAGGGAGAAGTCAAAACCAATTTCATCTTAATAGTCTAAATAACTCAACTATGCCTGAGCCAAACAGCAGCAGAGAATTATTACTCAACAGAAATCCAGCAGCAGTAGTAACCATAATAGCATATGGTGGAGATTATGACATGACCAAGGAGAGGCAGTGGAATGACAGAATTTGAATTCAGAGTTGGAACTAGTAATGGTTCCATTTCACAACTCATACAAGGTAAATTGGAACAGAATTAGTTTAGGGTAGATTATGACACCAAGAAGATGCAGAAAAATACATCATGACCGGATCAAAGTTGTGTAGTCAATCAGAAATCATTCAGTGAGAGAACCATGATAATTCTACAACCATCATCTAGCACAGCAAGATTATTATTATTATTATTATTATTATTATTATTATTATTATTATTTACATTATGGTATCATATACTCCTGGGATTCCAAATTCAGATAGAATCCATCTATATTTTTGCCCTTTTTATTCGTGTTCTTTTCATTGCCTTGTCACAACCTCCTCCTCTGCCACTTACCATGAAAACATCTCATAGACAATAAAACATAGGCATGGACTCATCATTAAATGATAATAGTGCAACCCATTATTTCTCGCATAATATAACTAACTAGATACATCTTTCCGCCCCGAGATGAAGTCAGATTTGGTCATCTTGCTAAGTTGAGCCAGCATAAGCTTTATTGCTGAGGTGAACAATATGGAAAACCAAGGCATCGTAGAGTTGGACCAAGCCATCAAGGTGCTCTGTGAAAGGCTGAGGACACTTGAAGATGAATCCTGTAAAATAAATGAGTTTAAAGAGAGAGCCAGTGCACCAAAAGTTTAAAGAGAGAAGAGACTAAACAATTTTCAGTTGAGTTCTCCTTTTAAAGAGCAAGACCTGCAATGGATTGTTATCCGAATCTTATTTTTTATGATGTTAAGGCCTTGCTGATGATGCTGCTAAGTTGGTATATTGTCTTGATGATCTAGAAGCTAGTTATAACTAGCTGATGATATGTCAAGTCATTTGGTTCAACAACATGACATCATTACATTTGTGCAGTCTTGGTCCACTAGTATACTCAAATCAGCTCTCCTCTTTTAGTTCTTATTTCTCTACCACCATTTCATGCTGCAAGCTACTGGGCCAACTGGCTTGGAGCATAGCAACAAGGATGGAAACCAGGTGCACCATGACAATATTGAAACACGATGTTTTGAGCAAAACTAAATCACATTAACATCAATTCAAACAAGACACAGTTCAAGACATAAGTAGAACTGTTCCTAATCTTAATAGGAGTGATCTATTGTTGCAGGACATCCATGAGTTATTAGGATTTGGAGTTTACTTAGTATTTTCAATCATTATATTTTTAACCTTTTTTGGAAGGTCTCTAAAGTCTTTACTTATAGTTAAATTAGTATCTTAAAGTCCTAATATGAGCATATTATAGGTTATACCATTTATCATATTATTAAAAATCACGCATTCAGAATTACGGTCTTGTTATAAAATAATTTTGTGAAGTCTGCAATTAATACTCCATTAATAAACTCTTTTAATGGTGAGTCCTTATTCACTTCTACATTGTGTAAGAATATAAATAAGCATAAATGCCTATAAATTAATAAAGACAATTGAAAGCCTTAGAGGTATCACAAACTTCTCTCTAGTTCTTAACTTTCTTCTTCCCTCTTTTCATCTGCCTTTTTTCTTTCTTATATTTATTTTGTATTTTTTAGGTTGTCCTCTTCCATCAATGAAAGAAGACATTCGATAATGATACAAAAATCCAATCATATAACATCTGAGGCCCCAAACTCAACAACATCTTCTTTAGGAGTTTATCTATATAAACGTGGAGTAATTTCCTCTTTGTTTTACTGGAGATTTTAAGGGCCTGTTATAATTATTGTAAAGTTAATTTATAATTTTAGCTTAAATACAATTAGTCAAGTTAATATATCTATCCCTCTGTGTATTTCAAATATTATTTGAAAGTCAGCATCTTTGTCTTGTGTGATATCTCATGTACAGAAAATATTTATGTGATACTAATGTTATACTTATTTCAGGAAACTCAATATAAGAACATTATTATAAGATAAGACAGTGCCCTTGAGAATTCTTTTTGTCAAATGAATGATATTTGTATCATAAAAAACTTGAGAAAAAGATTTTGTGGGTTATACCACCATATTACCATTCAGTAATCATTGTACAAGACATATGATCTGCCTTACAAAAAGAAACTCAGACTAGTAATATTGATTTTGTATAGTGTTATACTGTTCTTAGAAAAAAACAAGTGCATTATTGTTGACATAAATGAAAGTCCTACTCTTATAAAGGTTGAAATAATTATATTGGTAAGCAACAAATTTTTCGAGGCCACTTGTGGTAAGAAACAAACTAGTTTGCTTGAATGACTAGTACTTCCAATGGGGTCACTTTCGTCACATCATTAGTCTTTTGTGCCAAAACAGGGAAACCTTTACAAAGTAGGATTTTGTTAGTTATATCACTATTGTTTTTTAGCACTCATGTTTGGGACAAATGGAACTCATGTAATTTTTATTATAGTTTTCAAACCATATAGATAAACTAAATTTGCTACAACATGGGAAATTTTCTAAAGATGTCGAAATGATAACATGCATAACTTGTTTTCTCCAAATCCATGTCGAGAAATTTCAGAACATTTTAGGTCGATTAGTTCAATATAAATCCATGATTTTATTGGTTTACTAGAAAAGATAAATATTCCACCTGATAACCAATTAAATTGATCATTTAAACAATATAAGTATGTAAAAAAATTATTTTGTTACAAATCTTCGCTATTTTTCCAAGAAATGAATAGGACGAAGACTCACCTCTTACAACCCGGCATCGTAGGCAGCAGCGTCGGATATCATATCCCCGACCAGAAGCCCGCCAAGCGCACCACCGAGCAGCCCTGTTCCCAATATTTTCTTCCTATGTGGCTGTACTACCGGCGGCGGAGCAGCACCATACCCGTACCCGTAACTCGCCGGCGAGTATCCGTATCCGTACCCGACAAGGGGGTGTCCATAACTAAGCGGCGGCAGTTGCTGGTACACCACTGGCGGTGGATACGGCAGCCCCGCTCCATACGCTGTGTAAGCTGCCGAGCTCGTTCCTGCTGGGTACAACATCACGGGAGCCGTGGGGTGCGCCATGAAGGGATGCGGATAGGCAGAGGCCGAGGGGACGAGGGCGAAGGCGGCGACGCACTCGCCGGGCTTGTAGGAGAAGTTGAGGACGCCGTTGGGCTTGCCGGACGTCACCCTATGGACCTGGTAGCTGACGAACTGGACGGGCGGCGGGCCACCGCAGGCACCAGAGAGGAGATCCGAGAGTGGGACGCGGACCTCGCCGACGTCGCGGTCCCGGAGCGCGCGCTTGGTGCGGAGAAGGATGTGGATGGAGTGGCGGGCGAGGTCGACGTCGACGGGGACGGTGAGGCGGATGGTGGAGTTCCAGGTTGGGTTGCGACCACCCTCGCGGTCGGGCGGGGTAAGCTGCCGCCCCCGGCGTTTTCCGGAGAGGGAGACCACAGCGTAGACGGCCATCTTGGAGATAAGGTTTACGTCCTTAAGGCCCTTGGCCGAGACCAAGGTGATCTCCAGCGTTCGGCACGCCATGGCCGAGCTCAAAGGGCACTTCTAATCAGGCTTTCTTTCCTTCCCGAGGCTGGGAATCGTAGACGAAGAGCGATGCCGATCTGGAAACGAGAGAAGAGCGTCGAAGAAACGAGATATTTATAGGGACGGTTTCGCCGATTTGGTCGCCTATTTGGCAGCAGTTCCAATGGTTTCTGTTGCGCGTTCGAACCGCGTAAATCACTCAAATACCCCTTCAACCTCCTTGTGGGGCCCCGTTGGCATGTCACGGCATGAATGACATACCCATGATTTGCACCCTACGTTTTAGCCGGGTCCCACATCACGTGGAACTGACGTGGTAGTAAAATTGCATTGGTTATGTAGAGGGAATTATCGTAATTAAACTAACGATGGAGGTGAGCCAACTGACGTGGAAGTACAATTGAATTGGTTCTGTATAGGGTATTATCGTAGTTAAACCAACGATGGAGGTGAGCCAACAAACTTCCAAGTCACACCAGCGATGACGATTAGAAGGGAGATGGATTGTAATTTTAGTCGACCAGTTGTCTCTGGTTAGCGAGGGCCATAATATGGCTTCAATGGCCCATTAGAAGCCCATTGATAGAAACAGGGACCCACATGGAGCTCGGCTCACTGTGCACGTGCCGTAGCCACCGCCTGTCTTTTAGGGTTCTTCTTCCCATCTCTTCCGTGAGAGACCCGCGCTTGCGCCGGCGACAGAGAAGAACGCGAACCAGCCATGGTTCACGTCAGTTTCTACCGCAACTGTAAGCCCTTCGATCTCCACTGTGTAGTCGGTTGATCTCTCCCTAGGGTTTGTCGTTGTTCGGTCTGATTCTTGAAAGCTAGTGTTTTATTGTGTTCCAAAGATCTTTCTTTTACCCCTTAGATTTATGATGTTGGCTTTTGATTTTGACGCCTATGTGTCGTAAACCTTATCGAATGATCTGTTTTGGTAGATGGCAAGACGTTCAAGAAACCTCGCCGCCCGTACGAGAAGGAGCGGCTGGACGCGGAACTCAAACTGGTCGGGGAGTACGGGCTGCGGTGCAAGCGCGAGCTATGGAGGGTCCAGTACGCTCTCAGCCGGATCCGGAACGCGGCCAGGGATCTCCTCACGCTCGATGAGAAGAACCCCCGACGGATCTTTGAGGGAGAGGCCCTGCTCCGCCGTATGAACCGCTACGGGCTCCTTGAGGAGGGCCAGAACAAGCTCGACTACGTCCTTGCCCTCACCGTGGAGAACTTTCTGGAGCGCCGCCTCCAGACGCTCGTGTTCAAGTCTGGAATGGCCAAGTCCATCCACCATGCTCGGGTCCTGATAAGGCAGCGGCACATCAGGTGATCAAACTTTACTATTATGCCTGCTAATGCTCCGATGCTGTAGAGATATTTGTGCGGAAAGGTCTGTTTTTTATCGTATGTGTGCTTTCATGATTTCATTTCTCGGTGATCTTTTGCCTTTCTACTTTTAGTCAGACGTGACTTGTTAAGGTGTTCTGTTGAGTTAGCTGATTGGATCCTTCCTTCTATTTTTTCATGCCACTTATTTATATTTTTCTCGTTCTAAATTCGGTGGTTGCTCAAGTAGTTCTTGTTGTTCAAAATATCCACGGCAGAACATATGGAGCAGGTAGTTTATCGATGATGTGAATCGAGTATGATTCCTTCATTCTTCAATTATTTGAGATTTCCTGAACTTAGTTATTGTTGTTGTAGAATGTAATGCATTGTGAACCTGGCTAATGAAAGTCCCAGGTGTATCTCATTGAGGGGTTGGGGTAATAAATATATTCCTAAGACACTTAGCAAAGATTCTAAACCTGTAAGGGTGAATGCATTCTCCTGTTCTCTAAGAAAATTCAAAAGTAGTTCCAAGTTCATTCTTATGAAAGATTATCTGCAAGAAGCTCTGATGTTTCTAGTTATACTAAAATTATGTTTTTTCCTCCTTTCTCTTATTATTTACCACTGAGTAGTGAATGTATATTAGGTAGTTTTATTGAGAGAGAGGATAGTGGTACTTAAATGACCTCACATTCTAGGTTGACTGATTTTACTTCTTTGTTTAGTTTTTAGATACTTCAGGGTTCTGTTGTTATTGTTTTTTCATTTGGCTTATGATATGGTTTTTATCTTGTGGGTTATTTTGGTTTTGCTTACAAGCATTTGGTTTTGGACCTACAATCTAATCATGTAGATGGATTATTTGTCATAATTGTTTTATTTTGAGATATTGGTAGAGGAAGTGCTAAAATACAACTATTAGCATGAAGAACTGTCATTTGGTAAATGACAATGGATATTTATCTTCTTTAGTATCTGCCATTGACATATGGATGTGTTACTTATTTTGCGAATATAGCTTGTGAAAATCACTGTTAGATGTTGACATTTGTGATTCTTAGAATGTTTACTAGTTTGATAAGAGCATCTTTGACATTGATGGTCTTGTATTATGATTTGTTTTACCTGTAGGTGCTGTAGTATGCTGGACTCTGTATTGTATTATTTAGTTCCTGGAAACAAGCTCTTGGTCTTCCATATTGAAGCTATCCATTTTACAATAATCTTTATTTCTTTTACCTTGGTCATGTCAAATAGATTTTTAGTGTTCATATGGTAGTTGTACCTGTCAGATTTTCCATGGAGATCTAGTGAAATCTAACTTTATTTTAAATTACTCTATTATTAATTAAATGTTGAGTTGGCCATGATTACAGAGTTGGAAGGCAAGTTGTGAACATCGCATCATTCATGGTCAGAGTTGATTCCGCAAAGCACATAGATTTCTCACTTACCAGTCCATTCGGTGGAGGCCGACCCGGTAGAGTGAAGAGAAAAAATCAGAAAGCCGCCGCAAAGAAGGCAACCGGAGGAGACGGTGACGAGGATGATGAGGAATGAGCAATATGCTCTAGTTATCTCGTTTCCATGTGTTCATCATCACATGGATGATTTTTATGTTTCTGCATTTTGGGATATTGGAACTATCTTTATATTTTGATATGCTGCCTTGATAGGAGTATTTCGAGTTTGTGTGATGATCTTTCACATTAGTATTGTCTGGTCATTGTATTTCATCCGAGTTTTGATCATGCTCCTGACTTGTCTGGCATAGAAACTATGCTGTGGATGTTAACGTGATATTTGAACGTAAATGTTACATCTTGTTCTATGGTTTAAAATTTCGGATTATATAAATCTTCGAGCTATTTGGATTAGCAAAGAACCTCAGTGATACTTACATTGTCGGTGGTATATTGTATTCATTTAACATTCGTTTATTGAGAGGGTTCAAAATTTGATCGCATATATATATATTGAAATATTTTGAGATGTCAGTTAAGGGTTAAGAACTTGGGTATTTTAGTTCCAAAAAGTTTGGCTTTTTTTTTTATCACGTTTTCCAAAAAAAATATTTTTGAAATTAAATTAAGTTCTACTTAATTATAAGATTGGCTCGAAAAAAAAAGAAAAACTTTTATTAATTATTGTTTTATTTTTAAAATAACATCTTAGTCATTTTATGAAATTAAAATTGAAATTAAATTGAGTTACGTTTGATCATAGAATTTATTTAGATTTTTTAAAATTTTAATAATAAATTAACATGAAATCTTGTAAAAATAAAAAAAATAGAACTCATCTTAGAATTATGACGAGATAGGTTGATGAAAATTTAAATTGGTTTAGTGAAAATTGATTAAGTTGTACTGAAATTAAGCTAAGTTACACCATCACATGATATATTCAAAAAAAATCTTTAATTTTTATAATTAATTATCATAAAATTTTATAAAAAATAATATCAAGTTGATAAATTTACATTCGGAATTGAACTAATTTAATAATAGTTCCATTTCAAGAATAGTAATGATTCAATTATCATAATTTTTTATTAAAAAAATAATTCTCTTTCTATTATTTAAAATTTTGAGTTAGTTTAGTGGAAGTTGACTTAGTCACACTCGAAATTAAATTAAATTAAATTGTACTCGATCACAAAATCTATAAAAAAAAATAAAAACAAAATCTCCCATTTCAATTGAATTTGATTAACGAGTTTTTTTTCTATCATTTATAAAAAAAAGACACCGTTAGAAAACAGGTGAGTCTTCTCGTTCCTTCCTATCGGTCGTATAGGGTGTGCCTATGCTCTTAAAGGTTATATAATTCGAGAGGCCTATCTTATTTTTTATGTGCATTATTTTATCTTATAGATTTTACCAACTAAACATAAGGGCGTCCACAATTTCTCTTTTTCAGCTTGAGCTCGGTATGCTCCTGTTGTCATAACTTCAATCTGAGAGTATAAAGATTCGACTGTCGATATTTTATTCTTTAGAATTAGATGTTTGGTTCCATTATTTGAGATTCATTGCGGATTATATGAACAACTACGGATGTATTTTTTGAAAACTTTTAAGATCCAATCTCATCTTTACTCCTTCAATATGTGGAATATGAATGATAATTTTCTAATACACTCTTTAGCTTATTATATATTGTTAAAATGCTTTGATTGCATTTATTTTGGGGATAATCTAATGACAAGCATTGCAAACCTGATAGTCTTAAAACGAGTCCGATTTGGTTTGCTTGACCAATTAGATACTAATTTGAATTGGCTTCTTGAATCCATTGGGCTATAACTCATGTTCTTTGAAAGGACTAATTACATGTTATTGCTATGTTTAGTTCCCTTTAGTATCTCGATCGTTATATTTTAAAAAGTAACGTTGCATCCCTATAGTTACGAAAATTAAATATATATATCCATTTATCTTAACGTCATTGGTTTTACCAATATAATACAAAAAGAAAAGGTAAAAAAATAATTTTATCATTTCAGTTAGTGATGACGGATAGCATCAATAGTGAGAGATAATGTCGGTGGTGGTGGTGGGTGATGAAATCAAAGGCGCAAGTGATTGTTGTGGATAAGAAGAGTGATGGTAAGAGGCGGTGATAAGTCGGTAATTGCATCGATGTTTACATAAATATAGAGCAATGAAAAGATCACTCAATAACTACGTCGATGTTGATGTAAATGCAGTTGCCGATGTATGAACGATGTTGATGCAAATGCTACTCGACATTGATGCAGACACAATTGTCGCTCTACATCTGTGTCAACACTGATACAGATATTGAGCGACTCTTTCGTCGCTTACAATGATATCAACACTTATAGTTACCGAACGATCCTCACATCTTGTCATCACTTTTCTCATCCACAATAATTACTCATGATTCCTAGTGATACCGTCATTTGTCACATCAATACCGTTCATTATCATTAACTAAATCGTTAAAATTATCTTTTTTATTTTTTATTTTTATTTTTTTATAAAATTGATAGTGGTATAGTAAATGGGTATAGATATTTGATTTTTATAATTATAAAAATATCAATATAATTTTTTTAAAATAGAAAATCGAAATACTAAATATCGCAAACTACATAATTACTTAGGTCATGTGTAATTAGCCATCCACGAACAATCGGTACGCTTTGGTAATAACCTTGAGTCGAGACACAACTGAACCGAATTGCTCGTAACCCTTCGGTCATTGGCTTCCGCCTACGACCCCTCGATCCGGTGCCTCCTCAGGCCGCTTGCTTCTCGGACGGTCATTCCACGCCGATTCTGCCACCGCCGAACACTGCTGCTTTCTCCTCAATTGCCCTTCCAAACCCGAAATCGAGATCGAAGTAGAGCTTGGACGGGCATGGCGACTCGAGATCCGGTGATGACGCACTGGTCGCGCATGTTCTTGCTTTTCTTGGTTTTGGTCCCTCTAACTTCGTCTTCGCCTTCGTCGTGGGCGACGATGCACAACAACAATTGGGCCGTCTTGGTCTGCACCTCCCGCTTCTGGTAACCCCAAAAATAGTTACTTTGTAGTCTCCGCCTTATTCATTTTTTGATCTACACATGCAGATTCAACTTGAATGTTCTGAATTCCTTCATTGGTGCAAGTTTATAAGATATCTTAAATGGTCAAAGCCTTACAGTAGAAAAAATGGATCCATTCTGAATATGTACCTGAAATCAGAAAAATGATAAGATGCCTAGGGTTTTATTGTAGAAGAAGAGGGAGAAAAGGGATGATCACTTCGAGGAGATCGATCTCCTTGATCACTTCGAGGCGATCGACCTCCTAGGGTTTGTCAAAAGACTTGAATAAGATTTTATTGATAAGTGGAAAGAAACATATGCATCCATATTTATAGAGTTTCACCCCTGAGTCCATCAGGGCTTGGACTAAATAAATAAATATCAAATAAACCTTTATCAGACTCTTACTGAACTATACAAACTCAATAAAATATTATTCAAAGTTATAAAATAAATAGATCCTAACAATTCCTTCCCCTTCAAATCAGCCTTGTCCTCAAGGCTAAACAACATCAAACTTTGGGAGCTTCTCTTTCAGCACTTCAGTCAGAGAATATTTGCGGTGCATTACAACCCGTTGATCAAGTAAGTACAGTCTCCACTTCTTGATAATATAAGCAATAGGTCGGCCTTTCGGTGTAGTAGTCATTGCAGTCTTCTAAAGAACCCTCTCTATCCGATGGCTAGTGGCAGTTGTGACCTTACTTCCACGTCTTCCCTTTAGGATCATCTGCTTTCAATTAATAAAAAACTTTATGATTAGTTTAGAAAAATTCCAAGAAACATCACTCAGGGTTGATAGCCATTTAATTCCAAGCACCACTTCGAAGTCTTCTAAGGGTAGGAAAAATAAATCCATAAGGCCCTATATAATCAATTTTATCTTTGAACATTTGCTATCACAAGTTAAAATCCGTCCATCAGTGACCTTTACTTCGAATTTGTCACAGCCTTCAATGTGGTAGGTCAATCGGTTGACAACCTTACTGTCCATAAAATTGTTAGTGCTACCAGTATCAATCAAAACTATAACATGCTGATGTTCTAAAGTTCCTCCAACTTTCATAGTTTGCGGGTTAGAGTAGCCGACTAATGTATGCACTATATGTATGATAGGTCTAACATCTTCATCAGAATCCATGCCTTCATGATCGGAGTCCACATTGTCAGCTTCTAGCTCCTCCCCGATTGGTTCAATCATCAGAAGTTGCTCTTGTTTACATCGGTGCTCTTTACTCTACTTTTCATCACAGTGCCAGCACAAACCCTTCGTTGATCTTTCCTTGAGTTCTTCTCGGGTTAGTCTTGGGTGTTAAGGTTTCTGTTGGGAATAGATGGGGTGGGTGGCTTGCTAATCATATGTTTGTTGTCACTTCTGTTTCGACGATTCTCCCTGCTGATTTTTTCCTCGGGCAAACGTGCAAATAAGATTGTGACTGTCATAGTGCGGGGTTGGCGAGCTTTGACTTCACACCGAATATTTGGATTAAGTCCTTCAATAAATGTTCCCACCAGTTGTCGTTCGGACCAATCTCTGGCTGGATTTGACAATCGTTCAAATCTGCTATGATATTCTAGCACTGTAGAAATCTAACGAATTTTAGCGAGCTACCCATCAACATTCTCATATTCAGATGGTCCAAAGCAAACGAGAAGCCCTCTCTTGAATTGCTCTCACGAGGGGACCCTGTGGCATATTTCGTACCAATCATATTATTGTATTGCATCTTCATCTAGTTGGATTGAAGCTATTTCCACATTGGATTCTTCTAGAGCTCTGTGAAAAACGAAATTTTTTTTTGTCCTGGAGATCCAACTGGTCGGATCTCCATCTTCCCATCTTGAGAATTCCACCTTCATGCGTGGGTAGCTTGTGTCCCGTTCTTGGATCCTTTTTCCCGTGTCTCCAGATCGGTACAACGTAAGACTTGAACTTTCATCTTGCTGAAACTTGCTGAAGCTCTCCAATAGGCTCTTTTTGAAATCACTAAGGGTTTCTTACAGTCGATTCTCAATCCTACTTTCCAAGG